AAACCCATAGAATGTACAACACCAAAAGTGAACCTTAATATAAACTACAGACTTCAGCTAATAATAATATATCAATATGCTTTTAACAATTGTAACAAATGTACCATACTAATGAGAGATGTTAATGATAGGAAAAGGGATGTGTATGTATGTGTGTTGGGGGGCATATGGGAACTCTCTGTGATTTCTGCCCAATTTTTCTATAAATTTAAAATTATGCTACATGATGTGAGTCAGAGAATGACACATACTGTATGATATTATTTATATGTGGAGCCTAAAGAAATGGAAATCATAGAAACACAGAGTAGAATCATGGTTGTCAGGGTCTGGGGGAAATGGAGAGATGTACCAGTCAAATTGTACGAACCTGCAGCATCAAGATGAATAAGTTCTGGGAAGCTAACATACAGCATGCTGATTATAGTTAAACTATTGTATTATATATTTGAAAGTTGTTCAGATCTTAAGGGTTCTCATCACATAAAAGGGGGAGTAACTATGTGGAGTGATGGAGGTGTTAACCAACCTTATTGTGATAATCATTTTGCAATATACATATATCCAATTGCCAAGTTGTAAACTATAGACTTAAACACTGTTATATGTCAGTTCTATCACAACAAAGCTGGAAAAATATTTTTAAAGCTGCTTTAAAAAAATAAAGTCTATTATTTATTTTTTTTTAAGAAAAGGAAAACAATTCTAACATTACTCTCGCTCTGAGACCTCATCTTCTCAACTTCTAAGTTAAAGCTGAAACTCCGTAAGTTCTACTGCTGTATTTCAATATTGACTACAGAAGTGCATTTGATCATAGTTGGAATCATTGCTCTGGGATCTCCATCTTCAAGAGCTTTACATAATCGTTACAAACATACTATGTAGAAAGAGCAGTATCTTCTCTACCATGACCTTGTGACGATCAAAGGAGATGAGGTCAATACCACAGTGAAGGTATCAAAGCATTAGTTTTCTTTGTTCTTTTCCTAAAATGTTGCTTACAGGGAACACTCAAAAATAAATGTGCAAGCTCTCCTGATCTTCAGATTCCTAGTCTTGAAATAAATGATGCACAATTTCTATTAAAAAGAATTTAGAAGTTTGGAAATTTCCAAGTTAGAAATGCTCATCCTTTGAGAAGCAGCTTCACCAACAGGGTTTTGAGGGCAGTGAAACTATTCTGTATGATCCTATAATGGTGGATACATCTTCATACATTTGTTCAGATCCACAGATGTACACCACCAAGAGTGAACCTTAATGTAAACTAGAATGTTTCAGTGATAAAGAAGTCAGTATAGGTTCACTGATTGTAACAAATGTACCACTCTGGATGAGGGGGTTGATATTCATGAGGGGGAAAGCTGCACATGTGTGAAGGCAGAAGGCATATGAAAAATCTCTGTACCTTCCTCTCAACTTTGTTGTGAACCTAAAACTGCTCTAAAAAAATAAGTCTTTCTAAAAATTAAATGTTTAAATTAAAAAGAAAGTAATTCAGAAGCTCTTGATTCATGAACCTCTTGAAACATCCCTCGGGGCTATGGGATATTTGACCTTCTGGGACACTTGGCATTGAATCTATCTCTGCTCTGGCCTCCTATGTACCATAATAGTTTGTTTATGAATCTAAACTTACTCGTCCCACTCAACTTTGTCTTAACCTGCACTCAGCACCTTGCATGACACTTTGTTGTATGTCAAATGTTTACTGAACAAACAAAAAAAGGAAATAGAGAAATTCATCCCAGAGAACATAAAAATTGAATATTCAAATGTACCTGTATATACCTAGATTGGTTAATTGAGCTATATATCCATAAAACAAGCCTTTGCCTGCCTGGCTATCTATCTATCAAAACTTTGCCTACCCTTTATGTTTTGCTTAGCTGACATAAGTTAGTAGTATATTAATATTTATCTTGGAAACAGACAGGGAGATAGTCTAGACAACTCTAGTTCTGCTGAGAACGGTCTATAAACATGCCATTATTTCCAGAGCAATGCATTTCCTATCATTCACCTTGCCCAGTGTTGCTTAGACACTTGCTTCACTTTAAAAATAAAAGACAACCAACATTTATTGGCCTACCCTTTCACTGCAGTAGATAACTCCTAGAAAAAAAGAAAAATTGGACCAAATGAATTTCACAATATTCAGGCTATTTTTTTTAAGAATTTATTTACTCACCTGACAGACAGAGATCACAAGTAGGCAGAGAGGCAGGCAGAGGGAGGAGGAAGCAGGCTCCCCGCCGAGCAGAGAGCCTGATGTGGGGCTCAATCCCAGGACTCCAGGATCATGACCTGAGCCAAAGGCAGAGGTTTTAACCCTCTGAGCCACCCAGGCACCCCTGGGCTATTTTTTTTTTTTTAAGTGGGAGGTTAAATGGAAAAGCTATCTATTTAATCTCATTTATAAAAAATATAACAGTAGTATTTTGGTGCGTCTGCTGCAGAACATATATAGTTTTGATGCTCATGAATTTTTCTCAGGTCTTACAACAACTCAGACCACTTTAATATCATCCGTCCCCTCTTGATGAGGGATCAAAGTGAATTATTTTAAATAATGATTTTTTTTTCTTTCTTTTTTTTAACTTTATTTTTTCAGTGTTCCAAGATACACTGTTTATGCACCACTTAAATCACTGTCATTTGTATGCCATGCAATTGTGAGCACTCTCCCTCTCTCTCTCTCTCTCTCTCACTTTCTCTCTCTCTCTTTAAAATGGAGGAAAGGGTCTGACTAGAGATCTTGATGGATATGAACCAATCTTAGGAAATTTGACCCATACATATCTTAGATGGAAGTGGGTCTATACACTTCTCAAATGCCAATGTCTGTCTAAGGATGAAACCCAACTCTTCATAAAGGCTTCGGGCCTCAGTCCCAGGAAGGTCCAAGTGCTCCCCAACCATATCCCACTCCCTTGCCTTTTCAAGCAGCACACTAGCCCCTAATCCCCCCAATCAGGTCACACACCTGTCTTCCCGACATCTTTTGAGGACTTCCCCATGCTGTCCCACTTGGCAAACACCTGCCTATCTATCAAGCTTCAGATTGAGACCTCATCAGAGAAATCTATTCCAAATGTTGCCAGCTTTCCCAAGAGGGTGTTTGCCAATTAGCAGAGTCCTTATCACTCTGTACATGACTATCACTTACTTTGCCTCTTCCTCTGAAGCTATGACCTCCAGACAGAAATTTTTATCAATTCCAATAGCAAAGCTTAATCCTGGGCAATGAGTAGATCTTAAAGTTATAGGAGTTCATAAAAATCCCTACGATATACAAATACAAGCACCTCTTTCTAAAATAATTTTGTTAACTATATCTCTATGGAGGCACTTCTTTTTTAGTGTTGGGTATAAATTAGTCTTAGACATAAGGGTAATGAATAATGTGGAACTGATGTAAGAAAATAAAACTCCAGAATAAGAAACAAATGAACTGAGAAGGAATTACAGTCTTTATTCGGTCAACTGATTCATTACTTATCAAGGAAAGGGAATATTACATTTACAATTTACATTTTACAATCCGCAGTCCACAGGCTATGTGAACTGAATTCTTTTTTATTCATTTCACCGTGTTTTTTTTTTAATTTCTTTTCAGTGTAACAGTATTCATTGTTTCTGCACCACACCCAGAGCTCCATGCAATCCGTGCCCTCCTTAATACCCACCGTTTTGCCAGTGCCCCATCCTCAATTTATGGATGACATTTTTTTTAAGTGAGTCACCCATAAATATAATTTTACCCCTACATAGAAAACATTATATCATCAGAGAAAAAATGAACACTTTTAATATCTGGCAATGAAAAGAACTGATTTTTGCTACTAATTCTGGAGGGATTATTTCTAACCACAGAACATTGCAATGAAAAGACAGCATCTAAGTCAGCATTTTAGCAATTCCCCACCCTCAGCCTCACCCCCCTCCCTGCAAATCCAGGAGCCAGTGTACAGCAGTAAAGTACAAAGAAGCCCCCAGCATACAAGAGTTCCTGCCATCACTGGGTCCACAAATGCCAATGCCTGCTCTTGAAACCTTGCACACTCCACTTGGAGCCAAGACACCGGCCTGCACCTCCTGGGACACTTTCATTCTAATGTACTCCAACATTCCAACACTTTCCTCATAGCTAAGCACTTTTTACAGGGAAGGCCTTCTTTCACATTGCAGTTACTTCTGGAGCTCATTTTGCTTCTAAATCTGTGAGAATATCCTACTCAGGAAAATCACTTACTTGATACCACACTTTCTCCTGCCAAAATAAATAAATAAATAAAAATAAGGTGGTTTATTTACCCCCAGAGTTCAAACTGAAGAGCAAAGTATAATCTGGGTAATTTCAGATCCTTTCCTAAGAAACACTAAAAGGCAGCTCTTTGGGGTCTTGAAAAACTGAACCAAAAGTTAAAAATCTGTCATTTAGGGACGCCTGGGTGGCTCAGTTGGTTAAGCAGCTGCCTTCGGCTCAGGTCATGATCCCAGCGTCCTGGGATCAAGTCCCACATCAGGCTCCTTGCTCTGCAGGGAGCCTGCTTCTCCCTCTGCCTCTGCCTGCCATTCTGTCTGCCTGTGCTCGCTCTCTCTCCCTCTCTCTCTGACAAATAAATAAAATCTTTAAAAAAAAAATCTGTCATTTATATTTATCCCTAATAGTAATGAAACCAGAAATAGCCAATGACTACACAACTGCAAATAATCTCGCCTGAAAATCTATGTGCATTAAATACGTGTGTGGAGAAGGCGGAGGGTGAGATGTCTTTTAAACACTAGAGCCATGTCTCACTACTAGAGTCACAAACTCCATTCCCTGATTTTTCTTAACCATTTTCATTATTTAAACTACCAATCAATGCTATTGATTTAAGAAGTCAGTTGTGAGTTTAAACTTGCATGATAAATCTCAAACAGAAACTCACAACAAGAATGTAAGAACTAATATTAAGGTCTTCAGATCAGAGAAGAAAAGAGCTTCTTACCATGTTTATTGATGACACAGGACCAATGCTGTTAACATAGATGTCAACGTCAATTACAGTCGGTTTTACTGTGGAGAAAAATACATGTGTGTTAACACCTTGTGTCAGAGAGATGGAGGAAAGAAGTATTCAACTTCCTTTGACTCATGTACTAACACCTCATGGGTATGTGGGAAAGGGGTGGATTTTTCTTTTGGATTTGCCTTGTAGTTGCAATTCAAACCCTGCCTGTCTTCCTTTTTAAAATTCTCAAAGGATGAGAAATTCTTACTTGTATTTAACAAACTCTTGGAAAACAGGACATTTATACCCTGCAAGATGCCAGGAATAGATGACTGTAAAGATATCCTGCAATATTTGTTAAGCTGATTATATGGCAAAAAAATAAAAGATGATAAATGTTAAATGACAGAAAACACTGCATAAGCAACTTATTGCCAACATTTTCTATAAAGCTAACCTCCCAGTGATGAGTAATATCAGAGATGGTTAGCCATCACCTGACTGCCTAACTAATTGTTCTGCCTAACAAAATGACTCAAAGCTAAGATCTGGAGAGTGCATGCATCAAAGAAGAATAAGGAATATTGATTATTGTTATTGTAAAACCTAAAGAAACATAATGTACCACAAATTTAAAATCCTATAATTAATAAATGAATAACACTTTAGTAAGTCAAGGAATTACAGTTTCAACCACGATGGCATAAAATTTATAGGTGAGATATTGTAATCCAACATTGTGCATCAGAGGTAAAATTAGTTTATTTCCCCTTAAAGAAAACCAGTTTCTCTTTCCTTGGCAGGGACCAATAATGAGATTGCAGAGCTGGCCAACATCTCAGTCAGAGGTTCATGCCCTTTGAAAAGAAGGAGGTTCCCTTCTCTGCACTTAGCAACTGATAAAGGGAATGATATCACCAATTTTAGAATATTTCTTCCCCAGAGCAACAGGAACAAGACTCTGAACCTTTGCATATGAAACAAATCATTTCAGATATAAGAGTGTCTGTATCTGCAATTATTTCGATAAGCTTCCTTCAGTTTCACTAAATAACCTATCATTCACAAATTGGACTTCTGCACTCTACTTTCGGAACTATGAGTGACACTTGTGAGCTTACAGTTTCAATAAATTGCATACCCAGCAGTCTGTAGCCCAAGCCATGTTTCCAGACTTCTGTGAAAATGAAAACAATGATTATGAATTTGAGCCAACTACTCTAACATCTGTCAGGATAACCAAGTTATATTAGTTTCAAAGAGCTGTTGGCATTTTGGAAAACAACCCAACACAATTCTATATATTATGTATATGGTGGTTACATTTCCTAAAAGGACTGTTCTTCATTTTAGACTGATTTTTTTAACTACTATAAATAGTAAGTAGCACGTTTCTTTAAATTCACTGGATTCAGCAAGTTTTCTGTTTCCAGATACCACATAACCTTTGGTGATGTCATACAGAAGCCTGTGTTAAGTCAGTCAATTGAGAACCTACTTTTTGCAAGAGACTTTTTTGGTTATTTTATGGTATTAGAGTTTAGGCTCCCAGAGCTCTTAATCTCATTAAATTAAAAAAAGACCCAGAGACATAAAGCCTTAACAACTTGAAGTGGGAAGTACTAAATCAGTATTAAGTGCATTAGTGCAATGAAGGTTTTAAGGGATAACAGTTTAGAAAACACACACCACACACATACAGATGCACATATGTGCACACAAAACTAGGGGGAAATTAACTGTTTTCTTTTTAAAGGTTTTATTTATTTATTTGAGAGAGAGACAGTGAAAGAGAGCATGAAAGGGGAGAAGGTCAGAGGGAGAAGCAGACTCCCCATGGAGCTCGAAGTCCAATGCACAATTCGATCCCAGGATTCCGGGATCATGACCTGAGATGAAGGCAATTGCTTAACCAACTGAGCCACTCAGGCGCTGGGAAATTAACTGTTCTAAGCAAATGCTCTTTTAAGCAGCATCATGCTAAAGTAAACGGAGCTTTTAAGAAAGTGGCTCTGATAATGGAACCCAGGAAAGAGACTGTTCACAAGTGGCTCAAGGTTTATAATTCAAAGACTCAAGATTAGGCCCTGACAAAGGTTTGTTGTTTTTTTTTTTTTTTAAGATTTTATTCATTTATTTGACAGACAGAGACCACCAGTAGGCAGAGAGGCAGGCAGAGAGAGGAAGGGAAACAGGCTTCCTGCTAAGCAGAGAGCCCGATGATGCGGGACTCGATCCCAGAGCCCTGGGATCATGACCTGAGCTGAAGGCAGAGGCTTTAACCCACTGAGCCACCCAGGTGCCCCAAATGATCTTTGACAAAGGAGGCCAGACCATTCAAATGGTGTTGGGTAGACTGGATATTCTCATGTAAAAGTAGGTTAGACCCTTATGTTACTAAATACAAAAATTAACTTAAAATGGATCAAAGACCCAAAGTTAAACCAGAAACTACAAAATTCTTAAAAGAAAACATAGGATAAAACCTTCATGACACTGCAGTTGACAATGATTTCTTGGATATGACACCAAAAGCACAGGCAACAAAAAATAAATAAATAAATTAGACTGCATCAAAATTAAAAACTTCTGTGTATCAGAAACAGTCAACAGAATGGAAAGGCAACCCACAGATTGGGAAAGAATATTTGCAAATCACATATCTGATACATGGTTGACATAGAATGAACTCCTGCAACTCAACAACAAATAAGCAAAAATCCTGATTTAAAAACAGTCAAGGACTTAGACATTACTTCAAAGATATGCAAATGACCATTAAGCACATGAAAAGATGCTCAACAGCACCAGTCATTAAAGGAGTGCAAATCAAAACCACAATGAGATACTACATCTCCACTACGATACCACTTCACTTCCACGGAAAACAACAAGTGGTGGCAAGGATGTGGAGAAACTGAAACTCTTGCTCATGGTGGGAATGTAAAATGACACAGCCACTGTGGAAAACAGTATGACACTTCTTAAAAAAAAAAAAAATTTAAACATAGAATTACATGACCCAGTAATTCCACTTCTTCTGATAGACCCAAAGGAATTAAAATCAAACATATATTTGTACACCCATGTTAATAGCACTATTATGCACAAAAGCCAACAAGGTGGAAACAACCCAAGTACCCATGGAGGGAGAAACGGATAAAACAAATGCAGTGTATTCATATGGAATATCATTCAGCCTTAAAAAGGAAGATTTTCACTGTTTCGTTTTCTTTTATCTGATGGTCAGTCACATGTAGCCACAAGACAAAATGCTCAGAATAACAAAGTTCCTTATATTCACAAGTCCTAGAGACTGGAGATATGCCTTGCAGGGTCACATGGGAGAGACACCACCGTGTCAGAAGACAGAAGCCAGGGAAAGGCAGAGGGAGAAGGCACTTATACCATCATCATAAATGGGGTTTCCACAGGAGAGACACAGCAAGGCAGGATAAACAATTAGGATTGAATAGTTTGAATAATTCCTGTAATCTTTGGTGGTTTGGGGATGATTAAGGCAGAAGAATATTGGTTCCTGCAGTGTAAGGGCCAGAGAGAAGGACTATGGCTCTGGATTGGTTAGCCTGCATATCAGAGGTATGCTCCTGGTTAAGCCCTATGCTATCTCTAAGAACTGGCTAGGCCCAGAGGAGCAGTCTCACCTCAATTTAAAAAAAAAGGGGGGGGGGGTTTAAGATATCAAAACATTATAATCTTAAAATTATAAATATAAAATGTAAAATTAAAATATGCATGTGTGTTTGTATATACATATACACAATACAATGACACATCACAACATGGATGAACCTTAAGGATATTATAATAAGTGAAATATGTCAGTCAAAAAAGACACATACATTGTAAGTCACTTCTATGAGGTACATGGAGTAGTAAAATTCACACGGAGAGAAGGAAGAATGGAGGTTGCCAAAGGCTGAAGGAGAAAGTAAAGGAGGGTGGGTGTTCAATGGGTGCAGAGTTTTAGCACTGCAAGATAAAAAGAGTTCTGGAGATGGGTGGTGGGCAGTAATGGTTGCAAAACAATGTGAATACCTACGATACCATTGAACTCTACACTTAAAAGTGGCCAAGATAGTAAATCTCATGTTATGTATATCTTACCACAATAAAAAAAGACTAAGCTCTGGGTAGCTGATAGAAGGATGAAGAGTTACATGGAAGTGAAAAAGCTAGAACTGGGGAGAGAGGGGGAGAGGATGTGATTTTCTGAGTGAAAGGAGGCAGATTCAATTGAAAAAGTATAAAATAAGGCTAATATGTTCAGTTTTCAATTCTTTTTTAATTATATCTTGCCTATTTGGGTGTCATTTTTTCCTATAAATTCAGAATGAGTATATCTGAGAAGAATCACAAACTCATAAGCTGTGCAGCATAAAGGAATGTGGAAAAGATGCACTGGGTAAGCTGTGACAGCGGTCAACCACATTCATTCCCTTAAAAGAGGTATGTGGCCCAAAAGGCAGCAATGTAGACTGCACTTCTACTTGCTTCTGACACAAAACCAATGCACAGACCTATTTTGTTAGTTTTCTCCACTCAACCATGGGCTTCCTCCTCTTAGAACAAGTATTCAAGAATTATCAGTCAGAGATGCTAGCAAGGATGTGGAGAAAGGAGAACCCTCCTACACTGTGTGTGGGAATGTAAGCTGGTGCAACCACTCTAGAAAACAACATGGAGGCTCCTCAAAAAGTTGAAAATAGAGCTACCCTATGACCCAGCAACTGCACTACTGGGTATTTACCCTAAAGATACAAACGTAGTGATCCAAAGGGACACGTGCACCCGAATGTTTATAGCAGCAATGTCCACAATAGCTAAACTATGGAAAGAACCTAGATGTCCCTCAACAGATGAATGGATAAAGAAGATGTGGTTTATATACACAATGGAATACTATGCACCCATCAAAAGAAATGAAATATTGCCATTTACAATGACGTGGATGGAACTAGAGCGTATCATGCTTAGCGACATAAGTCAATTGGAGAACAACAACTATCATATGATCTCCCTGATATGAGGAAGTGGAGATGCA